TTGAATGTTACGTATTCGTCGTAGATTCGACTGGGAAAATCGGTTTTGCGGTACATCCACAATGTAGTCGATGCTCGACTCGAATATAAGAGGTCTCAGGTTAGGTCGGGCATATCCTCCTACAGGCGGATGTTCGAAAAACAGCTCGGAAGCCTGACGAAGGACCCGACCATATGCAGCCGCGACCACCGCGAGGGAGATGAGACAAAGGGACAAAGGGACCCCTGTATGACACAAAGCAAGACACTGGATTCCAGGATCTCCGCGTGCGCTGTCACCTCTGGGTGGCCCCGCTGTCGAGCGGGCCTCTCGAGAAATCGTAGGAGAAGGAGGGAGCGTAGGAGAAGGAGAAAGTGTAGGAGCAGGAGAAGGAGGAAGCGTAGGAGAAGGAGGAAGCGTAGGAGGAGGGTGAGGAGGAACGCGAAGGAGACCCCTTCTGTCACAGAGGGCCTCCGCATCTCCGAGAAATTGTCCCTTCTGTCACAGAGGGCCTCCGCATCTCCGAGAAATTGTCCCTTCTGTCACAGAGGGGCAGCATTGTCACCTAATTTGGCTTTCGGATGATCGAACAAACACCGTTCCTATCTCATTGAGCCGCAGCGATTTCACCTCCTCATCACATGAGATCGGAGCGCTGCAATTCTAACACAACGGGCGTTTTCGCACCATCTTCGGGCCCTGAAACCATGACAGATCGATCTGGCTCGAAAAATGATGCAGAAAGATGCGGTCTAGGGCTCAGGTCGTGATGTGTCGCGGTGCTGCAATGTTGCGCAACGTCGGAACTCAGGGACCACCCATCCTGCTCCTCGCCCTCCTCCTTGCCCTCTTTCCCTTCTGCCGCCTCCCTTTGGGCCAGACGGAAAGGGGAGGATAGCGAAGGGGGAGTCAGCGAATCAGCTCACGTAACTGGTTTTCCTGGCGCCTCCCGGCGCCGGAGGCGCCAGTGTACAGCACGTAGCTGTTTTCCGGAGCTGGAGGCGACAGTCGACACGCTGACGAGTCCCCCTTTCTGAAGGGCAGCGCTCGGGGGGGACCAGCTCATGGGGGGACGCATCACCCTGCACTCGGCGATACGCCGCCGACAGATCGGCGATGGGCCACTCAGAGCGAAACAGTACGCTTCTGGGCGGGGTGGGGCCCTCTGGACCCCATCGGCGATGCATCCCCCCCTCAGGTCGGGGGCGCGCAAACGTGGATTAGCGATCCATGGAATTTGGCGCGCGGTCGCCAAATCCATATGGATCGGGGGAGGTGCCCTCCCCAAAATGCGGCCGCTGCCGCCTCGCTCGGCAGCGGGAATCCGCGGATTTTCATGGAAACGGGACCCGTCACTAATCCACGCCCCCTTGATCCATGTTTGCGATCGCCTGATAAGCCCTTCCCCCCCCTAACGTTGCCCTGGATATCTTCCCCTCCCCCGCAAGCTGCCAATCCATTTCCCCCTCCGTCGATTTCTGAGCCTTGTTTTGGTCTTGCCCTGTGCGAGCGCACATGCACGCCTCAGTGTTGGCCATTAGGCACGGCGATTGATTGTCCTCTGACGGGAGGAGGAGGAGGAGGAGAATGAGGAGGAGGAGGACGAGGAGGAGGAGGAGGAGAATGAGGAGGAGGAAGAGGAGGAGGAGGAGGCGTAGGAGGAGCAGGAGGAGGAAGAGTAGGAGGAGGAGGAGCAGGAGGAGGAGGAGGAGGAGGAGGAAGAGGGTGGGGAGTACGAGGAAGAGGAGGAGGAGGGGCCGGGGAATTGCACGCGGGGGGTCGACTGCGCGTCCATCAGTGCAAAAAAATCGTTACCGCGCGCGCGCTGGAGAGCACGCCTGAGCGACCTCGGGCTTTGGGAGAGACAGAGGGCGTGCAGATCGTAGATCGGTCGGCGTGGGTATGGAAGAGGCCCCAAGAGGCCCCCAAGAGGCCCCCAAGAGCTTCCCCGAAGGCCCCCAGAAGCCCCCAAGATGCCCAAAAATGGCCCTGAGCGCGCCCCAAGACGCCTCCAGCAAAGCCCCACAGGCCTCCGAGAGGCCCCCAAGAGGCCCACTGGAGGCCCTCAGGAGGTCGTCCCCATCATGTTCCCGCGAATGGTGCTCCAGAGAGATGGCATCGTCTGAGCAAGCTAACAAGGAGGCTCCCACATTTGAACGGAACACAGAACTCCTTGGAAGAACCATCAACACCATGTGCTCAACTTCGTGGACAACACCCGGCATGTTCGATACATGATGATACCTGGAGGCCGCGTTTATGAAGGGGCCCTGGGACACACAAATAAATACACACAAATAAAAGGATGCCCCATATTTTCCCATATCTTCCGGGTTTCTGTCTTCCCCCCCACTTCCCATATTTTCCCATATTTTCTGGGGAATCGAGGATTCATTGTGTCTGTGTGTTTCTTTCCTTCCTGAATGATGATACCTGGAGGCCGCGTTCAGTGGGGAGGCCAGCATACCGGACGAGGGAGAAGGAGCGGACCCCTCCTGATCGTCCTTTGGAGACTGGAGCAGATACCAGGAGCGGGTCTAGGCAAGCTGGTCAGATGCACAGTGGGGGTGATGGCTGCGCTGCGCAGGATAATCGGGCGGCTGCATCAACACTTCTCCTGCTTTTGTCCCGTCTTCCCCCCCTACCCCCCAATAGGCAACGCAACGAGCATAGATCGTTGCGCCCGCGCCACGCTAATGCTTTCAAGACGGCCCCGAATATTGTTCCAACGAGCCTGCTCGGGAGAATACGGAAGAACCGTCGTGCAAAAATTCCAACACCGCGCTGCCACCGTTTGCCGCAAGTAGCCGGATGTCGGGAAAGAAATGGTGGGTCGCCATGCCACGACAATCGCTGGGTGATCAAACTTCGCGCGGGACGCCACCCTTGCAACGAATATTTGCCGATGCCCTGACCGAAAATCTCCGCGAGCAACGCCCTCCGAATAGCACCGCCGTTGAGGCCCGTGAAAGAAGATCACCTTGGCAGAGCTCCCTGTCAGCAGCACGGTAAGGATGAGGTGTGGCTTGCGCAGATCTCAATGGTATGGGTTCACGCTGCGTTGGTATTTTGGCTGCTCATTCTGGGGACCTTCCTGGAGACACTCGCTCCACTCGTGCGTCGAAGCTGCGTCGAGCGTCCGTCGATTTGAGTCGACCCTGAGTCGAACCTGCGTCGAACCTGAGTCGAACCCGAATCGAACTTGAGTCGACCTTGAGCCGAACTTGAATCGAACTGGGGTCGGACTAGAGTCGAACAGATCCGCCAGGTGGGCCCAAGGAAGCTTCCCTAAACGAGCATCTAATCGGCGGTGGGCAAACCTCCCTCTAGTAAACCACCCTTCAATGAAAACAGCCTGCGACCGAAACCGACGGACCTGGACCCGCAACAATGACGGCCGCGACGCCCTCTCGCGAACCGAAAACGGCCCATTCGCTAATCGACGTCTCAGGGTAGGAGGTCTACAGGGCAGTTTTTAATACATCGGATTTTTCAAAATATGGGATGTTAGTACATGATTAATTTATGAATAATTGTATGCATGAGCTCATAGTTGTTTTTACTACTAAATCTCTGCATTTGAAAACATGATCCGCACGCGGAGCATGTATTAAAAACGGTACTGTACCGACCTCCGATCTAAGGTATGGTCGGCGGCGCGCCGAGGGGGGAAGCGAGAGGGGGCACGCCTTCTCAGGAGCCTGCGCCGCTTCTCGGGATCCCTCGGGCCTTCTGAGAAGCCGCCTCTGTCTTCAAAGAAGGCTTAGAATGGAGGGCAGAAAATCCATCCCCACAATAGTGGGCGTTTCTTATTCGGAGTTTCGGCACTGGGTGGAAAAGGGGGGGAGAGCGGGGGGGGTCTGGCTCCGGACCTCTGCTTAATGTGACTGCTTACAACAGGGCGTCCATTATGGGGGAGGCTCCACCTGCTCGAAACAGGAGCCAAAAAACAGCCAAGATCTACTCCACGGGGGGGAGGGGGGGTGCGAGGGCCCGCGCCGATCGGCAAACCAATGAATAAAACACGATCACTGACCGCCGCGACAAACGAAACTGTTTCATGAACGCACCCGAGGAAGGAATCGAACAGGGAAGGGCTGCTTAGCAAGCGCCTAATGCCGTTTAGTCAACGTCGATTGAGGGGTCCGGGCGGTATTCCCTCCCTTGACATCAGCGCCCCTCAAACGGGGACTCCACTAACGGGTACTTTGGCCAGTGACCCAGCGAACCTAACCCTTCCCGATGTGGGCAAAGCTGCAATGCAAGAAAAAGGCCCTAAAACGGCAACTTCCGGCATAATTTCAAAGTACCCGTTAGTAAGTACCCGTTACGGTGCCGTTGATGACAGCAAGCTCCTCGGAGGACCGGAGGCTGCCTGAGCCTTCTGAGGAGGCCCGCACCCGCCGCCGATCCCCGTGGGCGCGCCGCCGGACAGTGGAGGCCACGTGCTCGCACGCTGAAGTGCGGCCCGCGCAAAACTCGGCGACGAGCGAGGGGGGGGAAGTGAGAGGGGGAAGGCCTTCTCAGAAAGCTTCGGAAATCCCCTGGCCCTCTGAGAAGTTCTCTAAGCCTTCTCCGTAGGCAAAGAAGCTTCTCAGAAGGCGCGAGGGCTTCTGAGAAGTTCTGCCGCCTTCTGAGAGGGCCTTCTCCTTCTCACTTCCCCCCCTCGCTCGCCGCCGAACAATGGATTCTGCGAGTGGTAAGGATCAAACGCTGGGGCCTGCAAAACAGAAAACAAACACGTACCCGCCAGAGAACATGTCGACAGGACGGGCATTAGCGAGCGCGTGCGACACAGAAAAGAGCATGCGGCCTGGATGCGACCATGTCGCAAGAACGGTGATCATCAGGCGCTGTGGCGTGAGCGGCACAGAAAATAGAATGTGGCCTGGAGCGCTTGCTCTGAAGTGAGGATTACGGAAACGAGCACGAGTAGCAAGAAGAGTAGCCTGAGGAAAAGCGCAAATACCATGACAGTCAGGAACATGAGCTGGAAAACAAGACGAGGATGATCAGGTGTAGCAGCTGGAAAGGAAGAACGATAATAGAAGCACGACGGCGATTTGCAGCGCGTACGGACCCACAAGCCAGTCACAGTCCATAGACTCCGAGGGGTGACAGGACCTGCGCCTGCAAGCGTATGCCGATTTTAAGCTGCGGCCGTGCACGGGGGCTGTGCCCAAGACAAGTTGATCTCAACGAACACCTTTCGTTCAAAGCACGTGCTTCTATGCTTGATTGCCCTTGCTTACTTTTTGACCTGTGATTGTCCAGAGGCCCCCCAAAAGCCGGAAATTGCCGAAAGCCTTCCGTCGATATTCACTTGGGCAACCAAAAGATGCCGACGCCGCTACTCCCTGAACCTTTCCTGGGGCGCGTTCTGGTCCGAATGTCGAGGCGAATCTGGCCGTGGCAACGAGGGCCTCCCTGGAGGCCCAGAACGCAGAAGACGAGGCAAGGACAGCGGTACTGGTCACCCCGCTCTCCTCCGATGACTGCGCTGCCTGCGTGAACTCTACGCGGGTGTTCGCCGATGCTGGGGCGGAAAACGTGGGCCAGCAGAGCGCCCCGAGACCAGCGCCCGAGCGCGCGCACTGGGCGCACCGAGGCCCTGAGGGGGAGGGGCCCCGAAAGGGGCTGGCCGGGGCAGACTTAATACAGGCTGGAGACGAACGGCTCACACAAAAACATACACTCACAGACACACAAACACACGCACACACCGTGCCTGCTAAGAAGCAGGGGTGCTCCTAAGGAGCCTCCTCCCTCCCCTCCTCCTGCGCGTGGATGACAGAAACGAGCAACACACACACACACACACACTGGCAAACTCAATCAACATCGAATCGGGAAATCGAATCGAAACGCGCGTCGGGCTTCGCAAATTGCACAGCAGCGCCATGCGGACTCCGGGCCGCGCTGGATCGGCGGCGTGTCGGAATCGGAGCGGACCGCGCCAGCCGGAATCGATATCGAATCGGATCGGAGTGGGCCCTGACTGGAGCCCACCGATGATTGCTGGACCCCTCATCTTGGTCACGTCGCAAGGTCGGGCAGTGGTAGGACTGAGTTTAGTGTGACCTGGTTTCGTGATGTGTGCTTGGGGACGCCTCCTGCAGAAGACACCTGGTCGAATCCTGGCGTGGGTGAGCCTTTCGTGCCTGACCGCGCGCGCCTCCCAAACCGAAGAAACAACGCTCTCCCGCCCCGACGAACTCCAGGCCCCTCCCAGACAGTTCCCAAACCAATGCACGGGCTCGAAGCAGTCCCGGCGACAATGGCCCTTCCGGCAGAAAGGGAAGTGCTCCCCCAGGACGTCATCACGACACGAAGCCCAAAAGGGCGAAACGGGCGAAGGGGTAGCGGTATGGGTACCTTTCCCTCTTCTGACCTCCCCCTCCCCCTCCTCCTCCCCCTCCTCCTCCTCCTCTTCCTCCTCCTCCTCCTCCTCCTCCTCCTCCTCCTCCTCCTCCTCCTCCTCCTCCTCCTCCTCCTCCTCTCTCTCCCCTCTCCCCCCCTCTGTCCTCCGACTCCTCCTTATCCTCCCTCCTCGGGGGGAGCCATCCCGCGCCCCTGCTGCGGCGCGAGGCCACCAGGAGCGGCACTGCGGAGACATGGCCAGGCCCAGCCAGCCGCTTCGGGCCCCCTCGGTGGCGGATCTCCGTGCGAGCCCGTGCGCGAAGGGCCTTACATTACAGGGAGCGGGCGGCGAGAGTGAGACGAAGGTAGAATCGAGGCAGAGTTGGACCGATAGAGATCGGAGATCTCTGGGAGTCGGCGGGTTTGGAGGAGCGCCGCGGCCGTTTCAAAGCGTTTGGGAACGCTCTGAGAGCATTCCGGAACGCTCTGGAACGGATTTGTCTGGGTTCTGAGCTCGTCTAAGGAGGGCGGAGGAGCAGGACGCCATGATCCGCCACCGCACCATGCCACGGCCGGTGTGGCGGGCTGGTCGTCTTTCCCTGCAAGCCCGTGGGCCCACAAAGGACGCACGCGCACCAACCACGTACGTGAACACTGTCCCCCGGTCCGCGAGGCCAGCCTCGCGATACCAAGGCTCGCGCAATGCATAATTACTCGCTGTCGCTCGGACGTCCATTTCCCGTGCATTTGTCGGTGTCGTGCGTGTCTTTTGTTGTTGCTCGTTGGCCGAGGACGGTCCTCAATGGTCCTCGCCGAGAAAACATGCACACGCCCAGGCGATACCAGGATTACTCTCGAAACCAACGCGGAGTCATGTACGTGTACGTCCTGCTTTCGCTCCCGAGATCGTTGGCCGAGGATGGTCCTCGATGGTTCTCGCCGAGAAACCATGCACACGCCCAGGCGATGCCAGGATTACTCTCGAAACCAACGCGGACTCATGCACGTGCACGTCCTGCTCTCGCTCCCGAGATCGGTTGCCCCCGACGGCGGGGCCTCGTGGCTCTCGGGCCTGGCCCAGGGTCGGCTCTGCGGCGGCCGCTCGAGACGGCCCCGGCGGAGCCTCGAAGCTTGACATAGGAGGGCACCAACTATACACCAACACCGATCCTGGCCCAGGATCACCCTGGGCCCAGGATCGGTGTGTACGCCCTCCTGCCTTGCGCAAGAAGGCATATACACCGATCCTGGGCCCAGGGTGATCCTGGGCCCAGGATCGGTGTTGGTGTATAGTTGGTGCCCTCCGATGACAGCCTCGAAACCAGCATGGATTCATGTACGTGTACGTCCTTCTTTCGCTCCTGACCTTTTCGGGTCCTAAAGACTCCCTGGGGGGCCCTGACAGGGCCCCTGTATGGGGCCCAAACGGCAAAAACAATGGTAGTAGAACCCCCCCCCTATGGCTGTCCACGAAAATCCCGGGACTCACGATTGAAAGCGCCGGAAATCCATATTCCCGGCTTTCTGAAAAGACCTCCACAAGTTCCCTTAAAGAAAACTCGGAAATCTGGATTTCCCGATTCCTTAGAGGCCACCTCAGAGGTAGAAATAAGTGCCCCCTTAGGGGCCCCGTCGCGGAAGAGGGAGCCAAAGGGTTCCTCTCTTTTTATCCGTGTGCTCTCTCTCTCTCTCTTTCTCTCTCCCTCTGTCTTGTTTGCTACCTTTCTCTCTCTCGCTCTTACTTTTCTTCTGTGTTTTTCTCTCCGTCTCTCGCTCTCTCTCTCTCTCTCTCTACTTATTTTATGTATTATGTGTGTGTATATATAAATATATCCCTCTCTCTCCCTCAAATGTGGTTGCTATCTGTCTTTTTCACCTTCAATTGTCCTGCATCTATCTCTCTGGGAACAAATTCCCTTGGGCAGTGCTCTTGGGCGGTCAGGAGTGCGCAGTGGTCTGGTGGTCTGGTGGTCTGGAGGTCTGTTGGTCTGGTGGTCTGGTGGTCCGGTGGTGCGGTGGTCTGGCGGTCTGGCAGTCTGGTGGGCTGGTGGTCTGGTGGTCTGGGTGTCTGGTCTGCGGGTCTGGGGTCTGGCGGTCTGGTGATCTGGTGGTCTGGTGGTTTGGTGACTGGTGGTTAAGTGGTCAGGTGGTCAGGTGGTCAGGTGGTCAGGTGGTCAAGTGGTCAGGTGGTCTGGTGGTCCGGTGGTCCAATGGTCCGGTGGCCTGGTGGTCCAGTGGTCCGGTGGTCTGGTGGGCTGGTGGGCTGGTGGTCTGGTGGTCTGGTGGTGTGGTGGTCCGGTGGTGTGGTGGTGCGGTGGTGTGGTGGTGTGGTGGTGTGGTGGTGTGGTGGTGTGGTGGTGTGGTGGTGTGGTGGTGTGGTGGTGTGGTGGTGTGGTGGTGTGGTGGTCTGGCGGCCTGGCGGCCTGGTCGTCTGGTGGCATGGTTGTCTGGTGGTCTGGTGGCGTGGTGGCGCGCCCCCCCGCCGCGCAGGCCGCCTCTGCTGGACTGGCTCACTCGCAAATCTGATTCTTCAAAATCTCAATGGTGCTAGACGCGCTCCTCTGTTACATGCCCCCTCCTGTTAGACGGGCCCCCTCGCCGAGCTGATTTAGGACATCGCAGCGGTGCTAGACGCGCTCCTTCGCCAGACGCGCCCCTCTGTTAGACAAGCTCCCTCGCCAAGCCGACGAAAACACAGATCATTGGCACTGCACGCGCTCCTCTGGCATGCGCGCCCCTCTGTTGGACAAGCCCCCATCGCCAAGCTGATTGGAACAATCTCAGCGGCCCTTGATGCGCTCCTCTGTTACGCAAGCCCTCTGTTAGACAGGCCCCCGTCGCCAGGCTGATTGAATAATCGATCTCAGCGGTGCTAGACGCGCTCCTCTGTTAGACGCGCTCCTCTGTCACGCAAGCACCCTCTGTTAGGCAGGCCCCCTCGCCGAGCGGATTTGAACCATATCAGCGGTGCTAGACGCGCCCTTTGTCAGACCAGCGCCCTCTGTTAGACCGGCTCCCTCGCCGAGATGAATAAACGAATCGCAGCGGTGCCAGACGCGTTCCTACGCTGGACCTGGCCCTCTGTTAGACAGGCCCCCGCGCCGAGCTAATTCAGAACAAATCTCCGCGGTGCTAGACGTGCTCCTCCGTTGCGCGAGCCCCCTCTGTCTGGCGGGCTCCCTCGCCGAGCCGACGAAAACAATCCCAGTGGCGCTAGACGCGCCCCCTCGGTAGATCTGCCGCCCTGTTAGACGGGTCCCCACGCAGAGCTGATGTTGGAAAGTGTCAATGGCCCTAAACGCGCACCACTGTTGCGCGACCCCCCACTGAGACAGGCCCCCATCGCCAAGCTGATTTGAGTAAGCGCCAGTGGTCCTAGACGCGCTTTTTTGCTGAGCGCGCCACTCTGTCAGAAGGGCCGCCCCTGCCGGGCAGGCCCCCATCGCCGATCTTTACAAGAGCGCCCGAGTGGTTCAAGACGCGCCTCTCTTCTGCGCTGGCCCCCTCGGCTAGACAGGCCCCTCGCCGAGCTGATAAAACGCGCCTCTGCGGCGCGAGAAGCGCGCCGCTGTTGCGAGGGCCCCTCCGTCAGACAGGCCCCCTCGCCAGGCTGATAAAAAAGCAACGGCGCTAGACGCGCCCCCTTGCTGGACATGCCCCT